CTTTCAGTTTGACCCAAGAGCCTGCAGGAGTCATGGGCGGGGTGTGTGGGGAGGGGGTGTGCTCTGCCATGAGGAAGTTCGGCTTGAAAACACGTCCCAGGGGCGTTTCTCGTCCCCACCTGTTGTTTTGCTCCTCAGCATGGCTTCCTAAAAACACTGCAGGATTTATCAAACATGCATGAATGAGTCAAAGCAAGGCTTTGGGCATGTTTTTTATGAGAGTATAACATTATAACATGATATAAAACTCAAAAAAGTTGCTTATATTGCCCCTTTAAATAAATTGAAGTTTGAACAAATCAATCGTCAAAAACGATTCGAACTGTTATTGTTGTAAAACAATTCTAATCATGAAAATGTCATAGCTGTTCATGTGAACAACTTCAGTTTTTCATTTTAAGCTAAAGTTCAGAGGTGATCGGGCTTTTGCAGTTTCTGCACCAAACCTTTTTGCATTTGAACTGCTGACACTCTCGAGACTTTTAGATCTCATCTTTACTCCCTGGCCTTTCCTTCTTGGAGAGTTTGAGATTCTTTTAAAGCCAACGTTTTAATGTTGTATTCCTTTATTGGAAATTCATCATACTTATGTTTTACTAACACTTTTACTAATGTTTTTGTGTTGCTTTGTTGCTTTATTCATTTATTTGGTTGAATTGTGAAACACTTTGGTCAACTCATGTTGTTTTAATGTGCTATGTAAGTAAACTGACATTGAGAGTGACAGTTACACAGGTTTTTACAGGAAACCAGTAGTCATTTACAAGCAGAAACAGCAGTAGCAGCTAGCTGTGGCACTTCTGATGGAGCCAAGGAGCTTTATGTCAGGAATATTTTAGGTTTTTTGCTGGAGTAATTGCATTATGTGAGATTAATTAGGAAGTTTTGATCTGACTTTCTCTATCTGTTTTAGAGTCTGAACTGGTTTTAGGATTTTCACTTGCTAAAGCCTCGGCATAAGCCATTGTGGTTGCTTCTAATTTTAAGTCACTGAGTACTCGAGTGCCCAGTCATGAATACACTGTCATGATATCACCACAACTACGCAACAGCTTTTATGCATGGTCACAACCATGCATGAACCTCTGTTATGAAGACCCCAATGTGTTCTTAGTGTACACCTGGAGACCTCATCAAGACCCTGAAGTAATAAACAGTGAACATTGCTGCTTTAATTTCTATCATTCAGTCTAAGACATTTGTTTGCAACAATAAGAGACTATTTTGATGGTTTTAGACTTGAACAGAAACTTAAATGTAGTCATACAATCAATCT